TTAGTTGAATATGCATGTACTGTTCCAAGTCTTCCTTGCATTAAAAAAAAATTCAGAGATACAGAAGAGTCAAGGCAGAATCAGTTATAATTACATGTGGTTTTATTTGAGGACTATTCACTCTACTTGATTTATCCCAGATCTCTTAAATGAAAAAAAGACATTTATAGCAAATCAATAAATCCTTACAGTTTACATTTCTGCAGCAGATAGCTCTTTAATACTAAAGTTGGAATCACTATCAATCACACAAAGCAAGACATTTTAGTGGGATTCGGGTGATTTAACATCTCCAAATAAAGATCTTATCAATAAAGCGGGAATTATTCTAATGAAGGTATTTTCTCAATAGGTATTCATTTGCTCCTTGTTTCACAGGATTTCCAGCAGCATTCTCCTATTCCACCATTCTCTAACAGAACAAAGTCACTTTACTGCCAGATCCAGATACGTCCATACTTTGGTGTGACTTACAATGCCTTGTTAGGGGGGGGAGCAGAGACGGAAAGAACTCATCATTTATGGTAAGCTTGGTTGTTTCCCTGAAAGATTAGTAAGCTGACCTAGCCAGAGCCAACTGGCTGTGACTACAGCTGCCCCATCAAGGGGTAAGCTTATGAAGCAGGTTGTTATTGCTTCATCCTGTTCAAGCAAGTGGTTGAGTCATCAAGCCCCTCCATTCTGAGGTTTAGCTAAACCTCACTTTCCAGAACTGCCAGCATCCCTGAATTTTCACTCTTGTGACTGCTTTCATAAATACTCTTTTCTTTGAAGAGGCAGAGTTCGGCTTATTTCTGCAAGAGGAACATTTGCAAAACTAACACGTGCAGCTAGTATAGTTTGCCACAAGTCACATCCATTACGTTATTTGCAGTGCAACAGAAATTCAGGCTGTTGTACTGCTCAGACTCTAGTCACTGTAAAGAGGCATGTGTTTTAGCAATGATATTATCTATAAAGTCAACATGAGCAACGTAGCTTTGATGCTTCTGTCAACACATCTCACAAGAAACAGGATTATCTTATCTGCTATAATGGGGCCCTACACTGCAAGAGTGTTAAGGTGAGTGGTACACACATGCTGTATCTAAGCATCCCAAAAAGCATCAGAGCAACGAAGACTGATGGTTATCGAAAAATATAAAAGAGTCCTTTTAAAAAAATGCAGGGGGGTTATAGCATTTTAAGTGATACTGAAGTTGTCTGACATGTGCAGGATCTTGGAGTCTTAACTATTCAGGATAATACAGAATATTACTGGGCATACAAACCTCTCCAAGGAAGCTAACAGGCAGACTAGCATCAGCTTAATACTTCAGATCAATGCCACTGAAATGATTATCTTGTAGACAAACCTACTGTAAGCCAGTAAACAGCCAGTACTAAACTGTAAACAAAGGCTTGTTATACCACCAGCCGCCCAAGAGACATGCCACCTCAGCTTCCATCTGTAAAGGTATCTTAATTCCATAATTCCCTCAGACTGCACTCCTCAAGTATTTTAAAAGTAAATCCTATGTAATTGCCAGAAATTCAATTAGCTCAACATTACACTACAAGATCTTTCCACACAAGGAAGTAAAAATTGTTGAACTGTCACATTAAGTATTTAATAAGAGTTTCCCAACTTGTTAATTTTTAGTTAGATGTTTTTACTTTGAAATAGCTGTATACACTTCAAATTGAAATAATGCCACATTTCTTATGTTTGAGAAAAACATTAGTGTGGTTTTTTTGTATGCTAAAGTTGGAGAGTATTTACAACACAACTTCAGCCAACACAGGCATGGTTATTCCCCTTTTTTCAGTGATCCATATTTATGTTAAAGAGGACTCGCACTTCTGGTTCCACTGTGTGCTACTGATGCAATTGCATCCTCCCTACATGATTTTGCTGGATGAACTAGACAAGACTGCCTTCTCTAACAAGTCTGTGTCAGCAAGGATTTAGCAGAAAGATGAAATAAAAGCATTCAGAGAAGTGCCTCAGTCTGCAAAACCCTTGGGCTTGACAGCTCTGGAGACTGGAAGAGTAGCTTTACACTCTCAGTGTTACACTGCCTCCTTTTAAAGAGCATAAAGTTTTGGGGCTGTACAGAGAACACAGTTTATCCTCTCCCCACCTCACCTGGGGGGTGAACTCTGCTAATCTAGTGCTATACTAATCTACATATTGCTGTTGACTTTTTTAGAAGTTCAGAGGCACTTCATTCCTTTAGTTTTCCCTGCACCTTACCCGTAAGAGGAAATAGACGGGTCATGGCTGCTATTTCACATTATTACCAATCCACAACAAAGAACCTTTCTCCTTCAAAAAAAAAAAGAACATCTGTAAGAACAAATACGTTTATTGAATTTTAAGAGATTTCCAAGCTGCTAGAGCTTACAATTACATTGATTTGCAAAGGAACAGCCATTTAGCTTCACAGATATCCATAGAGGAGAACCTCCCTTCAGCTCGAGCTAGTTAGACTAGCGCTTTAACCGGCTTTGGTAGTCACGGATCTCCACTAAGCAGTTTCTTTAAACACTTAAAACAAAACTACCCAAAGTTCTGACTATCTTGATTTGAACTGTTCTTGTGCCTAAATGGGGGCAAGCACATGTCAATATAGTAACAGCTACTATGCTAATTCCCTGGTGATATAGCTCAATATTTCATTAGCAAATGCACTGTGAAGCTACTTAGGGAATGGAACCACAAAAAAAAAAAAAAAAAAAAAAACAAACACCAGCCCACATCCAACAAAGTTATATTTTGTGACTGTCATTGAATATCCCTTCTCTTAGAGCACTACCAGCATCCCGAACACGCCACTTAAGTTGACAAGCATGTTGTATACATGGTGCTGTGGTACTAGTTACCTGCTCAAGTTACAATACAAGCCAGCTTGCTCCAGAAAAAATAGAAGTCTATCTTCATACACTTATTGGAGCAACCTGGGATTACGTTGTCAAGTTTCGTTCTGTGTTTTGATAAGACCCTTGGTTTCAAGTCTCACTGAGAACCAAGAAGATTTACCAGTTGACCTTCACTTTAACAGTCTTCAAGAATCAAAACAAGTCATTGAAGTGCTACATGCCATAGACACCTATTTTCCCCATAATGCCTTTATTAAGAACGAAATCATGTGGGAGACAAAACAGGTAACCATTCTGAGAACTACTGTTTTACATTCCTTCCTCCTCCTGTCATTGTTTTTTCCTCTTGGCATTGAGAAGAGCTATCCAGGCTCTCACCCATTAAAGAATTTCTATATTCCTCAACTGCTCCACCATTATACGGGTTTCAGATTCCCCCTTCAACCTCCCTCCACTTCTGGATGTCTTGCTCCAAGTCTAAGAGCTCCGACTTCAAATCTCTTGTGCTTGAATAATGCTAATTTGACAAGTGAGTGATCTAGAGCAATTTAAACTAGTTTAGATCACATAACTCATATCTACTGCCTGTTCGCTGTCCTCTAAAACCCAACCACTAGGTACAACCCAATGACTCACCACACTTGATATAACGCAAAAGCTGCATGTAGCAGAAGGACTGAAGTATCAGCCCCACCAGGGGAAAGAATACCACAATGTTGATTTTTGTTCTGAGGTAGAACAAGCAGTGTGGGTGTAAACAAAGGGACACATTGGAGCAGATGAGACTTGGAAGAAGACAGTCAGCAGTAGGGAAGAAGATCAGACATCATGAAGCTCAGTCTCTGCATTGCGACTTCAAATAGCCTGCCATCAGAAAAAGCAGTGTCAGAGTCTAGTTTCAGCTCAGTTTAGATGTTGCTTACATTATCAGAAGAAACTATTTTCTTTCTCAGGTTGGTTACTCCAAATAGGCCTTTTGAAGAGTTCAAGACTCTTCTTCAGTACTCACCACACACTTATGTATGCATACTTACAATCACTTTTAATATGGTTTCAATTTTGTTTTTAATACATGTAAAAGGATACCAAAGGCACTAATGTTACTTAAAACACAAAAACCCCACAAAAGAGTTGCATGTTACATGCAAATGGTTGCAGTACTTGATTCAGCACAGTTGAATCAGTAGCAGTAATAGGGGTAACTGGAAAAGCTTACCAGTTTTTACCATTACACATGAAGCCTTCAGAAGAGAGTGAGCAGAAAGGTAAACAGAAGTTAACCCCCAAATCTAACAGTCTACAAGTCTACTTACATATCCAACCAGCCTGTGCTTACAGAAGGTCTTAAGACCTCACAAGACAAGAAAAAAAAAACACACTACACAACAGAAGCTGACAGCTAATACCTATTATCGAGAGGCTTCAGCTAAATGTCACTTTCTTTCAGGCAGCACAATTAGGTGATTAAAAGAGAAATTACAGATAGCTGAAGAACTGTATTAGGTTACCAAATGGTCATTTTTATCAACTTAAAGAGGAACTATTCTACACTATTGCTTCCCTAGAGGCATCATTTACAGGAAAGAAAAGCTTCACATCAAATCCAGTCTGGGCTCTTATAGTAAGCCTATACCTAGGGTTATTAGCATAACCAAACATGCAGAAACCTCACTGAATGTCAGTAACAACTTCAGTAGTTATTAAGGCATTAAGAGGTACATGCTTATGTTCAGGAGTGCAGCCGCAGTATGAGTTTTTTTTTTTTTTTTTTAAAGAATGTCACCTTAAAGGGGTAAAAAAATCCTGTGGTAATAGTTAAATACGTTGAAGTTTCTCAAACTTATAATCAACTAAAACCAGAAGATAGTGCTGGAGATTGAAAAAGCACATCATCTAGCTGGCTATACCTGGTTACGCAACTTCACCTCCTTACTGCTAACAGTGTTGCTTTCCGCCCTTACGCTTTCAAAGACATTACTGAAGTCTCAGGCCAAAATCCTCCACCAGGAATTCCTGTGCCACCCAGTGACCCCGTCCCTTTGTACGGCTACTCAGCAAACTTCAGCCAGCGCTGTATTTGCCTGAGTTTAGGTACACCTAGCACACATTTCCTTATCGGGGTATGAAGCAATTTTTACGTAAGGGGCGAAAACGGCCATCAGATTCGCCCGAGGTGCCGGGCAGACCTGTGCGTTTTCTCGAGGGGATTACTGTATCCCGGCCGCAGACAGCTCGAAGGCAGGGGATGCGGGGGGGCATGTGGGAGCGGGGGAGGGAGTGGCGGCAGGCTCCGCGCCGCACCCGGCTGCCGGCTCGTTTCTCTTTAAATCTGGAAGCGAGCGACACATGGAGCTGCATTGTGCGCCC